ACAAAACTCCCTCACCGTCCACCACGTTTATAGGCATCGTGTCCATTTCCATCATAAAGCAAACCCTTTGATTTGAACAGCTGTGAAGTGCTGACTTTTCAGGGTACGACATTGACGTTGTACCGGATTTGTCGCAATATTTACATTAAGTATTGTCCTCTTTTACAGTGTAGTACTCCCACGCTGGACTGCATTTCTCGCTTTTATCTTGCCTCAACACGCACCAGTTTTTCTGAACTGCAAAGGTGAAGTACACCCTTGTGGTATAAAAGTTAATAAACTTGAGCTCTGAGAAAAAATGGTACACAAAATATACATGTCTGTTTAATACATTTTAATCAGTTAAATTCTTAATAGCAATTAACTAACTATTGATTAATCATTAACATCCCTATTTGGGGAGAAAAATTTGGCTGAATTACTGCCATGATAGAACATTTTAAATCTCTTTATTGCAAAAACAGTTGACAATCTGACACAAAGTTATGTTTTTTAAAAGCTTCTGAAAAGGATAATTATCCTGAAACTTCTGGATGCGATATGCATATTAATTAGTTTCCTAACTTTATAATCAGTTTTATAATGAATGCAAATCCCAGCGTGTGGGTTTAGGTAGTGTACTGTTTCTAATTCTGGGTTGGCTTCATCACTTTCCCCAACTTTATTTTTCACTTCTGTTCCTTCTGTTTTTTTTGTTTGTTTGTTTTTTGTTGTCACAGATCAAACGTTCATCTATAAGGAAAGGCATGGTGATGGTTTCCCCAAAGTTGATGCCACAGGCCACCTGGGAGTTTGAGGCTGAGATTTTGGTGCTACACCACCACCACGATATCCCCGAGATACCAGGCCATGGGTTAGTGGCAACACAGTCAAATCCCTTCCACACTGATATGCACCCTTTTATGCAGTCTTTGGTTTGACCGACCTGGTCACACTCTCTCTTTATCCCACCAGTCCACTGTGGCAGCATCAGGCAGACAGCCACCATCCTGACCATGGACAAAGACTGTCTGCGGACAGGGGACAAAGCCACAGTCCACTTCCGCTTTATTAAGACTCCTGAGTACCTGCACTGTGACCAGAAACTGGTGTTCAGGGAAGGGCGCACCAAAGCTGTGGGCACCATCACAAAGGTACTCGAGCGTATGGTAACTTCTGTATTTCAGTGTAGACGTGGGATCTCAGCACTCTGAAAGTGGCCCCTTTTACATGATGAGTGTCATTTGAGTGTCGATTATCAAAAACTCTGATTAATGCAGGTTAACTGACCCTGGCTGTGCATGTCATTTCAGCTTCTCCAATCCGTGAACACCCAGGCAGCTAAGGCCCAGCAGGCCAAGATGCAGGCCAGTAAGAAGTATTTTAAAGAGGGCACAGCAGCTAATGAAGAGGCTGGATCAACAGCACGGCCACCTAGTCCTAACGCAGCACAGCTTCCAGTGAGTAAATCCATGCTCCAATAACCATTTATAATGTGTAATAAGTTTTAAGGAAAACAAGAGAGAGATTTTTTGGTTGTAACATGTTTTAAGTTAAAGTCATGGGCAGAGTTTGCCCTGTGCATCACTGTTTTTAAGGATCAAAAAATGAATCCTCTGTCTTAATACTCAATATTTTGGTCATTTTGTATTGCTTTTTCATTTTGTTTAAAACAACTGACAATATAATTACATATTGCAGGACAATTATCCTTGATTTATGATAAAAAGATTTAGAGTTGAGTTTCCTGTCATTCTTTATTTAATTTATCATATTTAAAACATTTAAAAATAAATGCAAGATTATATTCAAACATTTTTGTAAAGCTGCTGCAAGTTTTTTTCTTTTTTTTCTGTTTTTACAACAAACAGACCTGTGTTTGAAGCAGAATATTCACATTACCATTTTAAATACTGCTGGTAGTGGTGAGCAATCTGACGATTTTAGATCGAGATCTACGGCGTCCACAATCTACTTTTCAGGCAAATCGTAGAGGTTGCGGTATTTAAAGTCCTTTGCTTCTGTTTCCAAACTTCACATAATCTCACTGACTAGCTGATCCACGCAAAGTGAACAAACCATTAGAGTGATGTAGGCAACTTTCTGGCTTAGCTGACATATTACTTCACGTAACTCTCCCTTGGGTGACGTATTGTAACAATGCACATAAGTTGTGAGTGCTGGAAAAGTGTTTTATGATTATGTTATCTTTTGGCTTCTGTTCAACAACTTCAAGTTAAACTCAGATATTTATTACCATTTTGGAACCTACGTATCTTTATGCAATATATTATTCTAATGTTATAATGGTGCAAATGGAGAAATCCATGGCTGTTTCAGGTCTGGCTATAGTCTACAGGGCATTTCAAAATTGAGAAAAACAAACTTAAGATTGTGGATCGTAATATTATTTTTCGGCTAGATCACCCACCCCAACTACTTGTTTTATTTTCTTGACTCTTTAAATAGTTAATTCCGTTTCACTGTTCGCTCTCTTACCTGTCATCCCTCATCATGTGATTATTATTTTCCCCCAAATCTCCTTTTATTTACCTTCTTAACTTGGTCATAACAAACTGCTTTTATCTTCTACGGTCTTCTCATCATTCTATCTTATTCACTCACCTCCTCGTTTCCCATCTGATGTTCACCCCTCCTCTTTTCTTCTTCTGCATCACGCTCTTTGCTTAAATTTTTAACACTTTTCTGCTCCACTCTCCTGCTTTTCCTCCCTCCCTCTCTCCCTGTCTTGGCATGCTTCGTCAGACAGTGGCAGAGGAGGAGGCTCTATGTAAGGATGGGAACAAAGAAAACAAGGTAAAGAAATTTCTGCAGACTGTTTGGGTCGTGACGAGGTCCATGTCTTGGATGTTTTCTTGGTTTCTTCACTTTTAAAGTTTTTCAACCAATATTTTTTGAGCATGCAAACTCCTATTTTATATTCCCAGTTTCACAGAGTTACACCTGAAAGTTACTCTAGTAGAGCACAACTGCAGTGTTTATCTGCCGGCTACTGAGCAGCTTCATTAAGTGTTAATTGACCCTTTACTAAGTCACAACCCAAATATGCAGCTGGCCAATCACAGTGCAGTAGAGGGCTCGCTCTAACTGAGGTTTTATGGCTGCGCCATTGACTCATACTCGTTTTCTAGCTTTTTTTTGCTGTGTTTTTCCGAGATATGATCAAACACTGTTCCTGGCCACTTGTAAGTAACAGTCGCTACCCAGAGAGTTGAAGGAGAAATACAATTAATTCCCTTTCCAAAACATAAAACATGTCCAGAAAATGTAGGGTGGATTGTTCCTAATGTAGTGTTAGCTAACAGTAGCTAACTTACTACTGAATATAACTTTATAAAGCCCCTGGGTCTTTTTAATAATTGTAATACCCAGCTGTACAGGAACAGTGTTAATCCTTAATATCGTTGTCCTTTGTTTCAATCATCAGGTGATGCTGTTCACTTTCACTCTGTGATCGGTAGGCTTTAGCTTCTATCAGCATTTTTTTCCGCGTCAGTTTGACAAACTGAAAACAACCTTCAAATACACAATGCAACTGCAAAACTGTCTGCTTCTTTCTGAGATTGCTTTTTCCAGAAATTTACAGCATTACTCCAGGGAGTGCAGTAACAGAGACAATGGTAGTGCCGTGATAAATGTCAGACAAGTCAGACGGGGGTGTGGCTTAGCGAAGGGTCAATTGTTGAAGTAGTTGCTGAACCCCAGTGTTGTTTTTTATTTAGAGCTGAGGTATTTGCCTTTTAAAACAAACAAACAAATAAACTTTGTGGCTTGTACTGTCTTTTCTTTCTCCCCTTTTCTGTGATTATGGAACCAATATATTCTCAATTTATTCTTCAATTTTTCAGGTTCCCCCCTGTTCATGGAATTTAATATTTAAATGTGACCATATGTTTTTGAAGGTTTGAAGTACTGACATTGGATAAAGTAAGAATTGTCTGGTTTTCAGCAGTGTGTTAGAGTGGAGGTGGGTCACCCACCCTGAAATGGAGACCACACCTGCTAATGTCAGATGAAATATTTTATTTCTTCCCCTATGTAAAACTTGAAGCATGTTTTATTTACCCTCTTAAACCTTTAAGTTCTCATAAATGCATCTTTAACATCTGAACTGTGGTGTTCCTCTCTGTCTGCAGCTCAAGTCGGGAGGTGGAGGACGCAGAAGAGGTGGTCAGAGACATCGAGGGAAAGGACTGAACACTGCAACAATCTCTACAGCGGTGCCTGCAGGAGCAGCAGGCACCGCCTAAAACCTTCCATTTCTCTTCAGCTCGCCTCATCTCCTTTACAGGAAGGGAAAGTGACTATATGGCCATCTGGTGGTTTCACACAAAGACTGACTGCACATGTTTGTTTAAATGATAACTCAACAACTTTGTTGATTAATTATAAATTATGAATAATCAAGTGAGTGAATAATTTTCCTCATTAGGTCAATTTAAAGCTTTATTGGTGTAATTAATTGTGGGCTGCTGAATTTGATATTGCGTTTTTATTTAGTTTGAGTTTATGCAGTTATCTGCAATTGTAGATTACATTATATAACCTTTTCTATTTTAATACAAAGGTTTGGGGGTTTTGTTATCAGAACCTATTTAGATTCTTTTTTCCCAGCCAGCAGAAGGATCAGTCACTTCCCCTGCCTAAACTTTCTCCACCTTCCACAATGTACTTTATTTTTTTTTGCGCATCTTCTTTTCCTCATTCTACTCTTCTAGCATTTGTAACACACCTTTTTCCAGATGGCACCAGGGTTTGGAGTCTATTTACTGTCACATCAGTCATTTGAGGAAGTAGACTGTGTTTAGGAGACTGCTGGTACATTGACATTGGCAGTTTAAATTCACATTGGGAATTGAATGAACTGGAAGGGGAACTTCTTTAGGGTGGTAGCTAAAATTCTCATCTGGAAATCACAAGTAAAGCAAATCTTCAGATGGTAACAGTGCCATGGTTTGGTGAATTCTGCTGCCAGTTGACAGGAAAGTTATAATCCTATCCTGGACTTGTGACCACTGTACTGCACTGTTCACCAGTCATCACTGTCATGTAACAACATGCAGCATCATTATCTTCCATCCATTTGATCTCATATGGCCTAAGTTTATTCTAGCCATTGTATCATTGTTATGCCTTCCTTTTAAGCCAGTGTTGCAGTTTTACTAGTTCCAGTTCATGCAGCCAAGAGAGAATAGATCCGAAATACCTTTGCCCCCCCCCCCCCCCCCAACTAATGTCAAGTGTCAAAGTGGCTTTGTTATGTGTTAACCTGGCAGAGGTCCTCTTATCTTAAGCCAAGCAAGCACAAGCACAACTTTCTGCCATTTTGAAGCAGTCTGACCACCAACAATCCAGAAGTTGAAAGTCCACGTACAAAAATGATTCATCCACTATTTTTACTACTTCAGTGCAAAAACTCAAGCGGTGTTTCATACCTTTTAAATGTCAAAAAGCCAAGTAACAACATATTTAATTCACTAAAAATGATTCACTGTGACTAAAATATGTTTTGCCGCCAGCTTCTAAGCTTCAAATTTCATTACAAATGTATAACAGACACAGGAAGTCAAATTATTTCATATGACCAGAGATCAAATATATTATGGTAACCAATTATTTAAGTGTATTTCTATATGACTCAGTTTTGACTCTACAGCAGTCAATTAGCCAGATAAAGCATGGGACGGAAACTGTAGAAAAAAACATTTTATGGGTCTAAACACACTAGCGAATAGTGTACAACAAGTTAACAATGCAAGTCATGTCAGAATTTCTCTAATAAGCGGACATAAACCATTGATCACATCAAAGTAATCTAAACATTTAATTGAGTTGCCACATTCTATTTCAACGGACAACTACAACCTTTTGTTTGCTATGTATTTTTCTACTAGTTTTATCCAATTGTTTGTCCTCCACCCAGTTTTGAGTTTGTTTTTGGAAGGTAACTGAACACTTACACCCAGTATACCCTTTCATATACATACTACAATTTAATACTGGTCTGAGAGTCTTTTGGGTCACTGAATTACCCATATTATGAAGATCACAAACATACTGAACTGCCAGAATATATCCCTGTCTTTCTATTAAACTATTTTTTTTTCTTTTTAAAAGACTTAAAAAAACCTTTTTTGAAGGGACAGATTTTGTGTGTATGTTTGTACAAAAGTACAAGTTGTGCAGAAGAACTAAGGATAAAAAAAAGATACCATTTAAATTGAGTGCTGCCAGTTTGTGTTGTAAATCCTTTTAAATAAAGATGTTATAGAAAACTGACATCTGGATAATATTGTTTTTTTTACATTTAAGGCATTCAGTTAGCTAGATAATTGCAAATCGAGTCCAAGAGGATTGAGCTGAAAGGAGACTGTTTGGGAAATTTAGCCTTTCCTAATTACATAATTGCTTTGGATGTTAATATTCTGTCATTACCCAAATGGCATTCTACATTAACTTGTAGATGCTGTTTGACCCCCTTCACGATATTGCTGGTTGTTTACTCAACACTGAATTCAAACTTCAGAACAAATTTTTGTGTGTGTTGACGTGATCAGGAAATGAGTTCCTGGTTGGAAGAAGTTCTGCTTTTTCATACCCATACAAATGTTAAAACTACTCTGATTTTTTTTTCTATTTTTCTTCAGTTTTTCACTGCACTATGAATCATTTTAGTGTCTTTCATGTCATTGGTGTGATTTTCTGGCCCCACCTTGTTTCCAGCCACTGCAGGCAACCTCTTTGAGACCTGCCCTGTGCCAAAAGGCAGACAGACAAAGTGAGGAAGTAGTAAGAGCCACAAACAAGTCATGTGCTTGTTGTTGATGGTATCTATTTCTCCGTTATACATTACCTATTATGAGAAATAGCTATATAATTCATGGCCACAGTTCAGCCACACTCACCTCCTGTAACAGCCTACACGAGTCTCATGTTGCAGAAATAAGTGTGCATCCTTGTCTAGTATAGTTCATAACATCCTATAGCACCACAAAGAGCTTCTGTCAATCACACTGGTCGGCAGTAGGGGAAGTGTGGCTCAAAAGTAATTCAGCCGATTTCTCTAACATACAGCACCGAAGCTAAGAGCATCGGAGCAGCCAACATAAACAAGTCACACTGCGTTGCATTTCTATGGAGATCAATTTGTCTCAATATTATTTGTATGAACAGATCGACAATTTATGTGTAAACCGGAAATATAAACCACCTTCCAAAAACAAAAAAAAAACATTGTGAAATGCAAATTTAAACACATCTGTTGATTTGGAAATAAATGAAAAGCCTTTGTGAATATCTTGCTATCATTTTCAACTTTGGAAACAGTGAATCCAGTTTGTGATTGGATTGCTAGCTGATGTGCATTTCTTTTATCCACACAATTCGGTGAGATGTAGAATTGAAATCCACAAATACAGTGTAACCTCTGCTTTAATTTAATACCAAGCTAAAATAATTATTGTAAAGTTTAAAAAGATTAATTGATAGAGGCCAATCCTGACAAAGGTCTCCATCTCTAAATGAATAATAAGTTCCTAATTTGTTGAAATTACAAAGAAGACATCACTAAACCATATAACAATTTGTACTAAATAACTTTGGGACCCAAATATGTTGGAGAGAAAATGTGGATTTAATGTCCACAACTGATATACCAGATATACCTAAAGCGATTTGTTCTACTTAAAGCTTTGCCTCACATTGGCAGCATACTGGTTGTGATTATCCACTCGCCTGTCTCGAACAGGAAGCTGTGGCGAGAGATTTGAAATGGCTTTTACAACAACGCTCACACAAACAGTTTTTATGACTTTGGGACACTTCGCATGGCAGCCCACTATCGATGCAAAGGGTTTTCAATCAAATTTGTTTAATAGTTCAGAAAGAGTCAACCTCCCAGTCATAATTGTTTTCAAACACCCTAGGGCTTAATGGCACTCTGTAACAACTGATTGCTTTGGTAGCATTTCAATCAAAGTCTCCCTCTGTGAACCTGTCAACTCATTTCCACTGGTGGTGTTCGCCCAGATGGTTTAAAATGGAAATAAGAATGGTCTTTGATGCGGAGCCTGCGATCAATGAATGACTCGCTGAATGTAGGTGGGGGCGTTTCAAGGTTGCACTCATAACAGTTTATGAAAGTATTAAAAACAACCCCTTGCACCATGTCTCTCCATTTATACCCTTTGTCACTTTGTTGTTGGTGTGTGATTCTATCAGGGGAGACGAGTTTCAAAAATCAGTCAGTATGAATACACAGCAATTCACCATGTCTCCGTCTGATTATTTTGGCTCACACACCATGCAGTGTGAGGGCCTCATCACCAAGTCTACAGCAGTGAATGGGCCAGGTCGCTGTCGAAATATGCAAATTCATTGTTTCAAGCATGACATGAAGGGGATTATTTCTTTATTGGAGACTCTAAAAGGGCAAAGATGTATTCATTGTGATGCAGCCCAACCTCTTGCACACTTTTTTGCCAAGCTCAGACTGAGCCGTCAGCAACTTCCCTGTCCAGAATTAAACTATAATTATTTTACATTTCATTTTATACATTTAATACCCTTATTCAGAGTGACAATCCGTGCATGGTCTGTAATATTACAAGCAACTGATAGCAAGGTTGCTGTGAGTCATAATATGGTGACAATAGGACTATGACTACAGAATCTCTATTTCAGAGAGAAAATAATGGGTATAGGAATAAAATTAAATAATAATTAGTTATTTAACACAATGTCAACAGTATTTAAATGACTATGCTGAGACAGGTCCTAAATACAATCACTGAAATACTATTGAATGAATGATTGTATATAACCTAGATGTCTGCAAAATGTATTTTTAATTTATTATTTATTAAATTCAGTCTGGCTGTAATCTAGACATCTTTACACCTATAAATCACAAATTCAGTGCTTACTAAGCACACAAAGTGTGGTGCAAGAGTCATTGCTAGTTTCCAGCATCATTATCACACCCAGTGCCTACATTGTGTAAGTAGCATTTGTGTGCCCATAGGAGTGTTGCTCATAAAATGAGGTGTGGTAAGGGGCATTGTTGACAGATTACTATCTTGAGGAAGCAAAAAAGCCATTGTGCCATTGACCAACAAAAACCTGGTCAAAAGTCAACAGTGCAGTAAAGGGTGCATGCAAATGGGTCCTTCCAGCATCCTCTGTGTTCTATTGAAAGTATGTCATCATCTCCTGTAAGCTTGGACAAGCACAACAAGCCTAGTTCAACATGCTATTTATTTAATTACATTTCCCATGACACCTGCCAGCCAAGAAAGGGCTAAAAAGGAGTTTTTGGCAAAATTTGGGTTCTCTGGGGTCCTGGGTGCTGTTGATTGCACGCACCTACAACTACGTGCCACTTCAGAGAACGCTCTGATACATGAGAACCATAAGGGAACTCATTCCACTAATATCCAGGTAAATTGTGGTACAACATGTAAGGTTACTCTTGTATTGTCCAACTACCTTGGATCAAGCCATGACTTCTTTATACAAGCCAACTCTGGAGGGTTGTTGTTTACTTTTTCCATGTATTTCTGCTTTTAAAATCACTTTGGATACATTCGTTAAATTAGGTTTTAATTAATTTAGGTTTGTTGGAGATCATTTTATTGGAACATTGTTGTCCAATGCCACCTGTGCCCTGTTTTTCAGTTTAGTCTGTCATCATTTACCTGATTGCCTAACAATCTGGCAACACGTGGGCCTTTTACCTTTCAGAGCTAGCATGCTAAGATTAGTTTATTCCTAAATGCACACAGATACAGTATGTGTGTGTCTGTGTGCATTCAGAGATAGATTAACCTGTCCATTCTCACCCACTCACACTACATGGATTTCTTTCCAATGTTTGGGCCAAGGCATTGCTCGTTTCTCTTGACTACAAAATTGGTGGCCTCTGAGGGCTTCTGGATGGATGACAAAGAAAAGTTAAAACCATTATTCATAAAAAAGCCAGTTAGTTGGTGGACAGCACAGCCTACTTCCACCACATCCTGCTGTGATTAGAATCTACTTGCAGCAGGAAAACTACATTTTGATGCAAAAAAGTTTTCTTGCATATTTTTACTTTTAATTTCTTTCAAAAAACAAAAGCAACATATAAGTTGTGCTTATTACAAACATAATTTTTCATTACTGTACTATTACAAAGAACAATGTATAATCTGCTTCATTGGTGGGCAGTAAAAATCCTTAAGCCCCTGTGATAAACATTGATAAACACTATCTCCGTGACAACAGATACCAGCACTTTAGAATAGCTCTGCATTATGCAATGATAATCAAATGAACCAGCAGTTGGCAACATAAATGAGATTTACTGTTAAAACTGCAGCGGCTGCTGATGCTGCCACTGTGTTATGAGGCCACCCATCAAAGAAATACCATCTGTGTAAGTCAATAATAATCAATTGTTTGAAGCAGAATTCATTTTAGCATCTTTGTGCTATGTGTTTTGTCTTTAAGCTGCAAGAACTTGACATTGCAGTAGATTAAACTTTGTGTCAACCTTTTGAAAATGGACAGACAATGTTTCATAGATTTTCTGAACTTTTGTATGTGAGAGCAATATTATCACATATGTGTTTTGAGTTACTGATGAAGGACTCCAGTAAAACTCCCTGACTATGTGATGTTGTGTGTAATCACCAAACCATCAACATTTTCAGCCAAAAGCTGGGCAAATAGACAAAAGGTTAGATTGACTCGATTGATCTCATTGGCAGTGTGTGAAGGCCATTAGTGGTTGTAAGAGAGGTTATTTACCTCTTTAAAAAGGAATTTAAAGACATCTATTGAGAACCAGAGGGAATTGCAGCGAGACGGGAGCTCAGCTTAAATTGAGTGAAATCTGCATTGTTCAGGCAGTTGAGTCTGGTACTACATTTCTCTCACTGTAACATACCAACTTTTGAATGGATTTTCCACTTCATGTAAAGGTAACAATACAACAATGTTATTATGAGTGTTATGAGTAAAAGTCCTTCATCCATATCCTTACTTAATTACAGTGTGTAAATGTAATCAAAAATAAAAGTATTTGTTCCACAGAAAAATCTTCCCAAGACTCATATATATATTGCATATTTAATTTATTATGTAATGTATCAATTCGCCCCTAAGTTTGAAATCACTTTTCTCAAATCTTTACTGTTTTTGGTCAAATATTTCATCATTTTTGGTGGAACTGCTAACAACTCGTAGACATCTGAAGGGGGGCCCAACTAGACTCAATTACCCAACTATTTTTTTTATTA